GCACGTATCGCAACGAGCCCCAAAACGGATCGAATTTGCAAGCGAACGGCTGATACAACTCGGCCCTTTCAGACAACACGCGGTTTCTCTGTGACAAGAGATCCGAGAGATTTGTCGTGCATGGTGTTGGAGAGCACCATGTCAGTACATGTGGCATGATGAGACGGCACGGAGTCCACTTCCAGCTCAATCAGAGAAGTAGCTGTACCTTGTCAGCTGTTAGCCTCATTTGCTCCAATAGAGCTTATCCATGCCTCCAAGAGTCGCTTTGTACCTCCAAAGGTATTATTGTGGAGTAGTCCGGGTTGCTGTTCCACGATACACCAAGCCGGACCCCTCAGCGGTTCCGAAAATGTCAGACCGCAACTTCGGGGGCTTGGAAGCCACGGTATGCCTGTATCAGACATGCACAATGAATGTGCTCAAGATTCTCCACATAACGAGACATCAGGTTCTTCTCAAGGTGTTCGAAAGAGCGCAGGGTCCTTGTGGGGCCCTCAGAATGGCGACCTCTCTCGAGCGTAATCGATCGCTCGATGCTGCGCATCGACTCGTAAGCAATCACAACTGCTCGCTTGTGCGGAGAGACCGTACTGTGGACATCTACAGCTTGATTTCTGACCAGGTCATTGCCGCGGTTGGTGAGCCGTGCGAAGAGCGACATGGGAGTTTGCTGCCCAACGGAGGATGAAGGCCTGAAACCGGACCGCAAACGACAGAGTACGACCGAAGTGCCACTGCACGCCGCGACCGTTGTGCACATCATCAGCAAGTCATTCAAAGGTCAGGGTTAAGGGACTTTGACTTCGACGATGCCCAACGCAAGCGAGTAGAGTGACACGGAGCGCATTGCGAAGTATCTGGCCAGGATCCTCACGCGTTTGATAGACCGTTGCAATGGAAGCGAAGCTGAGTGGCGCAGCTAGCAATGTCGTGCAGCAACGAAGCTGGAGAGCGTTAGTAGATGACCCACCGGAGTATTCATGGAAAAGCTTGACTGAATGTTCGTTATGCCGAGTTGTAAATTTTCATCGAACAACCGCTACGACTTTGAGTGTAGCTGCCGTCAATCCAGATCAATACGTTGGCACTTTGCGGATTTGACTGAGATTTTCATATAGAGGTGTAAAAATGATCTAAGCCCTTGCGTATTCGTATGGTCGTGTTTGTAGATCGGGAATGGTGGTCAACAGTCATTCGCAATGTCTGGAAATATCACAGGCAGACGAGTCCGCGAGATGTCGATGCTGTAACAGAGCAACATACAAAGGAGGAACGATTGCACGAATAGGCATCTACTGGGGCAGTTCCTTATCTTCTTCTACTGTCTACTTTGGCATCACATCCAATCGCTACTTCCTCTTTATCGTCTTCATCCTTTTTTTTTCTTTCTCTCATTTGCATCGTCATGAGTTTGTTCTTCACTCCAGCCAGGTTGATTTAGTCAGTAGGGAAGAAGACCTCAACTACGTTTGGCTTGCTCTCAAACTTTCACTTCCACTTTCCAGATATAAGACTCAATAGGCGCGATGTATATTCAACACATGGCAATGCGGGGAAGCAGGAACGCGATGTCGTTGTGTGCGACTGTGACTCCCACGAGCCATGACTACCTATCGACTTGCTTACAAGCACGGGACACCATACTATGAGTATCGTGTGCTACCCTGAACCTGCGCGGAGAGTTCTTAATCTTTCACAAATGTACCTAACCTAGACTACCAATATCTTTCCTCCACTGATCATGGCACAATAATCATTTGCATTTTGTAGAAGAGAAGTATCGTACTCTCTATCGCAAAAGGCATGGAAAGAAGAAGGAGCAATCATGTACCGATACACTTCTGCTCCTCCTCCCTGCTCTTCAACATACCTCTACCCTTATCCCTATCCTCATAACTTCGCAGCAAGATCATACGAAACAACTTACATGTCCAGACCCTACTCATACACTGAACCACGTCGCTACAGTTCCTACTACGAAACATCGTACTCGCGACCGAGTACATCCCACAGGCCTGTGCAAACCAGGACCTGGAGATACGTTAGACCCGTACAAGCACCACAGCCGGACAGAACTCCTCGAAAGAGCAGCCTCAAGAAGACGGCGAGCAGGCACGTGCATTTCGACCTACCGCCTGCTCAAAGCAGCTCGAGCAGGACGATCAGGATAGCCGAGGAAGAAAGGCAGAGGGAGAGAGAACGCGCAAGGGCAAAGGAAAGGGGACGGGAACGGGACCAAGAAAGAGAGAGAGAACGCAGATACTACATACCGCCCCGATCCACCACCTTACGACAACGTTCACCCTCGGAAAGAATGCCTAGAAAGCATCACCAGTCCTACACCTCAACCTACGAATACGATTCCCAACTCCACCATCAAGAACGATACCGCCGCAGCACCTCACCTGTACACACCAGCCTACCCAGATTGCACTCAACATACACACGTGTGCCACCACAACACTACCAGCAGCCCTATTTCCACTCCAAATCCCCACCACCACCACCACCGCCATCTCCCACCCACCCAACCGTGTACATAACAACCTACGCCACAGACCTAGTCCGCTCCGAATCCACAATAGCCAACCTCCTCTCCACCCAAGTCCCACGCCGCTCCCCCCCAATCCCGCATCTCTATACCATCGATGCGCGCCGCGTACGTCCTCCGTCTCCTGAGCTGTGCAGAGAATACTCTGGCGTCAGTAAACGGATACAGGATGTTGTCATGGAAGATGGCGAGGCGAGACGAGCGGCTCACAGGGCGGTGGAGAGGCTATTGCGGTTTGGAGAGGAGGAGAGAAGGAGCACGAGGTATGGGTCTGGTGGGGGGAACGTGGAGGTGAGTATGAGTGTGTGTTGTCATGCGGGCACACATCGGAGTGTTGCTATTGCGGAGAGGATTGCGCAGGTTGTTAAGAGTGAGGTGAGAAGGATGGGGTGTGGAGAGGGTGTTGTGGTTATTTGTCGGCATGTTCATCGTGTCAAGGGGTGCAAGGATCCCTTTTGAGGCATCTGATTGGATTCCTTGCTTGGTGTTGGGAGGATGAGGTATTGACTAGGTTGGGGAGCAAAGGGAAAGATGTTTAGTTTGAAAAGTAGTGTGTGATGCACTAGATTGCTGGAAATCGGAATCTCATATTCATTCTTCTTACATGTTATTCAGTAAAAAATCAACATACTCCTCGCTCGCCATGAACCCAGTTCTAGCAGTCAAATACATCGATATGGAACTTTTATCAATATCGTACCTTCTGCCCCCTTCTTGTTTTGTACACTTGAATCTTTCTCGGCTCTGCGTCTACGCAGTCTTCTTCTTTCCAATGCTGGTATCAATGCTACCCAATACCCATGTAACAGCAAATACGGCAAACATGCCCAGTGTGATGACCACGGGCTTCCTGTACCCAGCTGTCCACGGGTAGTCGTATGTGACAACGAGATCGCGATCCCTGAACTCATCGACGAGGTTGATAGCCGTCAGCTCCAGTGTGGTACGGCCCAGAGTATCCATGAAGGTCTTGTGGAGGCTGGTCTCGTTGCGGACAATGGGGACGGTGGTGGAGAACTTGACATTGGTAGCGCCTTCAGGGAGGATAACGCGGAGGTTTAGGCGACCGTAAGAGATACCTTCGCCGGAACGAGGACCCTCGAGGAAAGGGACTTTGAGGGCGTAGGTGTCGCCGGTAGAGAGCTTGCGCAGATACGAAGAGAGGTCTGCGTTCCAACCAACACGGAAGCTGTACTTCCAGGTTCCGAAGATGGGGTATCGCGGCTTCAACTCGAGAAGTGCTTCTTTCTTGCCTGGGCGGAACTTTGAGGTGGAGACGTTGCCAATGTCATCGGTGAAGTAGGGGTCGACGGAGCCGGGGGCGAGAGGCAGTGCCAGGCCCTTGAGGGCGAAGGTGGGTGGGTTGAGGTAGGACTGGCGTTGCCATTCTACGCGCGAGAAGTGGTTCTTGAGGCCTGCGCCTTGGTTGACGAGCCAGTAGCGCTCCTCGGCTGCCAGGTTACCGCCCCAGTGTGAGACCTCGATGTCGCGCTCCAGCAGTGTGGCGTGTGTGAGGGGCTTGGTGAACTCGTAGCGCACGCTCACGAGCTGCTGGGCCCCGGCAGGCACGTTGTTGTAGAGACCGTAGGTGAAGGTGGAGCCTTGCTTCTGCGGGTCGGGCGTCTGCTCGTCGTTGAGCTCGGCGGGGAGGGTGGTGTAGTCTGGCACGTCGCTGTTGGGGAACTTGACCTTGGTTCGCTGCTTCTCGGTAAGATAGGCCGAGGGGGCGTATGCGCTGAAGTCGTACTGCAGATACTGCTTGTCTGTCTGGGCGAGCTGGGCGGGGACGGGCTTCAGAGCCGAGAGAATGGAGTAGGAGATGGTGATGGTCTGCTGGGCCTTGGGTGCGAGGGGCTCTGGCAGATGAATCTTGTAGAACTCGACGGAACTCTCCGTGTCGAAGCCCACAACCTCGACCTTGAAGATGCCCTTCTCGGCCGCCTTCTTGTCTCTTACTTCGAAGCCGCCAACCTTGGACAGCAAGCTCGACTCGAATGGCAGGTAGTATTCGGATTGCGCCTTGTCGTCAATGTTCTCGATTATGACGTTGATGGTCTCCCTCGGATACGCCTTGTCCAGGTTGGTGGTGCGGACCAGGTTTGCATTCTTGAAGACTTGCGGCGGTGTGAAGGTAGTGGGTAGCACCTGCTTGGATAGTAGCGGCTGGGAGAGGTTGAGTTCGGCGCTGGCCAGGCTCGAGAGCGCTGCTATGCAGCTGGTAAAGAGGGAGGACCTCATTGTTGGAACAGCAGTTAAGCTATCCAGTCATGTATGAGGTCGATGTTGGGGGAATTGTTGCGTCAATTGGTGGTTACGCGGCGATGTGTTACGCGGATGTGTTGCGTCGTAGGTGTTCTCTTCGGAGTTCCCTGGCACCTCCGCGTCTTGGCATAGACAGCTTGAGCTCACCCCTCCATGTACTACTACTGACACCTTACACGCCACCATGAGACTACTTGCACTATCAATTGGCCGGCCGCGGATACTCTCAAGCCGCTGTAGAATAGCCACCGCAGCCGGAAAGCGTCACTTGACCAACAATGGCTTCTTCCGTGTCTCGGACGAGGTGCGCGAAGCTCTCAACTCGAAGAAGCCCGTCGTCGCGCTCGAGACGACAATCTACACGCATGGTGGGTATTCACACACACATATATATGTATATGTATATGTATACAAACACAGACAGCTGACCCATGCAGGCTTCCCCTATCCTGAAAACGTAGCCCTTGCATCCCTCCTCGAAAGCGTAGTCCGAACGAATGGCGGCATCCCAGCCACCATTGGCATCCTCGACGGCGTAGCACGTGTAGGCATGGACCCAGAGGAGCTGATCAGACTCGCCTCTTCTGCTGGCAAGGCAAACACAATGAAGCTCTCGCGACGCGACCTCGGCTATGTATGTGGCATGCGACTGACGGATAAGTCCTTCAACGGAGGCACCACCATCTCCGGCACTATGCTGCTGGCCCATCTCGCTGGAATCAAGATCTTTGGAACAGGCGGCCTCGGTGGAGTCCACCGTGGTGCCGAGTCAAGCATGGACATCTCTGCCGATTTGACCGAGCTTGGGAGGACCCCAGTCACCGTCATCTCCAGTGGCTGCAAGAGCTTCCTCGACATACCGCGAACAATCGAGTACCTTGAGACAGAAGGCGTCGGCGTAGGCACCTTCGCCGATGGACGGCAAGGAAACGTAGACTTCCCCGCTTTCTGGTCCAGAGACAGTGGAGTCAAGAGTCCCACCACCATTGCCGATGAGATTGAAGCGGCTGCCGTTATATGTAAGTCTGTGACCATGTTCCATGATGTCTGCTTCTGATGCCATACAGACGCCCAACACGCACTCCAAATCTCGTCCGGTCTTCTCTTCGCCAACCCCGTCCCTACCGATTTCGCTATACCCAAGGATGAGATGGATGTCATCATTGCCGAGGCTCTAAAACAGGCCGAGGCGTCCAACATCTCTGGCAAGGACAACACGCCTTTTGTCCTTGCCAAGATCAAAGAACTCAGCAAGGGCAAGAGCATACCTGCCAACAGAGCCCTGATAGAATCCAACGTGAAGAGGGCCACTATCGTAGCACGAGAACTCGCCATCCTCGAAGCAAAACAGGAACAAGCCCAAGGGTGAGCCAGCACTCTTGTTGCTCCATCGTAGACTGGCGCTGATGTAAGTATACTAGACGGAATTCCTCTTACTTTACTCCCATTCCATCCAATCTCTCGTCTACTCCACGCGAGGAGCTGCGCAATGCAACCTCGTCGCCCTCTGAGCCTGCTTCAACTCCTACCACGTCATTCTCATCCAGTACTGAGCCTCGAAAAGACCCCGATGTGGTTGTCGCAGGCGCTCTTGCAGTTGACTTTTCTTGTGATTATGCTCCGTTCAAGGCTTCTGCGGGCCAGACAGATCCACTTCCGCACACCTCGAATCCAGCAGTCATAACTCAGACACTTGGAGGTGTCGCACATAATATTGCTAAAGCCTCCCATTTGCTCGGCTCTTTTGTTCACCTGCATAGTGCTGTTGGTGACGACTTGAGTGGTCGCGCGGCGATTAGCCAACTGCAGCAAGAAGGCATGTCAACTTCCGGTATCGAAACACTCCCTGCGCCGTCTAGAACAGCGCAATATGTCGCCATCAACAACACGAACAAAGATCTTGCACTCGCCATGGCAGATATGTCAATCCTAGAGATGATCCCCAATGAAACTATCCAACAACTAGCCACCAGTATCTTCAACAACGCTTCAGCTCGACCCAAAGCCTTCGTTGCAGATGCGAACTGGTCTTCCTCCGCCCTGCACACTTGGCTCCAAGCCGCTCGTCACTCAGATACTACCACCATCTTCGAACCAGTTTCTACAGCCAAGTCACTACGCATTTTCCCATCTACCACTCACCCATCAGTTTACCCCAAGCCTCTAGCAGACATCATAACACCCAACACTTACGAACTCACTGCACTCCATGATTTCGCCAGCCAGGCCTCCCTGTTCGAGTCGCCCGAATGGTTCAGCGTCATCGATGCATTGGGTATCCCCAACGGTGGCTTGAGAGTCCCATTAGCCGTCACAGTGGGTGGTGACATAGTAGACCAAGGCATCCCTCAACAAGCCATCAAACTCCTTCCCTTCTTCCCCACAATCTTAACCAAGCTTGGTCCTCAGGGTGTACTCATGACGAAACTCCTAGCCTCTGATGCAAAAGAGCTGAGGGAAGATCGCGAGCGGCAGTATGTGTTGGCGAGGAACATGTCTTCTGATGGTGCAGCTACCGTTGGTGGTCTCTACGTGAGATTGTTTCCTGTGGAAAAAGTACTCGAACCACATGAGGTAGTCAGTGTAAATGGCATTGGTGATACGTTTTGCGGTGCCTTGGCATATGGCCTGAGTCGAGGAGAGACGGTGCAGGATGTTGTGGGATTCGCGCAGAGGGCTGCGGGCGAGAGTTTGAAGAGCAGAGAGGCTGTTAGTCCGGAGTTGAGGGGACTGAAGATGTAAGCTGTTGGGTCATAGGTCTCTCACTTTAGACAAGGAATCACCCCACTACTAATTCAAGTGTGCTGTCAAAGTCAGGGTTGCTGGCATATACCCGAGCTTACATGTTAACATGTTGTGCCGAGGCAATAGAGGCTGAGTGTATTAGATTCATGCAGAGGCAATATCCACAAAACCTCCGACCGTGATGGCCATTCCCGCTCAACATCTCCGCGATATAACCTCAGCACAGGCTTATAAGGGCTTGGCGGTCAACGGGACTGACTCGAAGTCGGATCGGATGTGGCTTTTGTGTGTAGATCCGCCAGTATCACCCAACCGGAAGCTGAGAATTACAAATCTCCAACACGACGAATGCACTACACTTCCGTACCCGCTTGATAGACAGGAAACGGCAGCTACATGTTCCGGTGTCTTTTGTAGGCGATGGTTCCGAGGTCGTGCTAGAAAGTCTGGGCACCATGTAGCTTACCTGAACCCCCATGCGTGCAGCTCCCCACTTAACCAGATTGGGTGCATTGTATACGCAAAAACAGGGACTACATAGAACTTTCCGTGTTTCATGGCCGAGCTCAGCAACCTTGTCTGCTTGTTGCTGAGGCACAATCGGCCCTCATAGATTGGATGCTTACTGTCGCTGTTCCAGTCTGTTCCGCGATGGAGGGAAGTGAGGATATACAAGGCATTGTATGGCACTGTGAACCCTTATAAACAACACTCTTGCCGATCAGTATCCTGCATATACCAAAGACCTTGTCATATGCTTCTCCAATATAACTTCTTGAGTTCTCTTACCTCCATCTCGAAATGCCATTCGATCAAAAGCCAGAAGGCTACCGGTGGGACATCATCACCGAGGAGGAACTCAAGTACGCTCCGACCTACTTCCAGGACGTACCAGAAACCACAACGGAGGTTGAATGTAAGCTCGGCGGTACATGGCCTAAGTGGCTTCATGGTTCTTTCTTGAGGTAAGTCACTAGATTGTATTCTATGATCGCAGTGAAACGTCGATATTGAATAAAACATAGGGTGGGCGTTGGACGCTTCACAGTCCCAACTTCAGAGGACGACTCAACGCCCAGAGTAGTTATTCAGCATCTCTTCGATGGCCTGGGCTTGCTGCACAAGTTCCGCATGGTTGACGGCCGTGTCTACTACATGAGCCGCTACACGCATAACGGAATCGTGCGACGAGCAATGAAAGATGGCTATGTTACAAACTCCTGGATGGGCCCTAATCCCAACACTCCTCTCTTTGAAGCTCAGGACCCGTGTTCGAAATTGCTCGGTGCTCGTGTAAGTGGGATCTTAGAAATCATGGTTGAAACGATTGTAGCCTAATTCCAGCACAGCAAACCGTATATCTTCCTAATGATTTCTCGGCGCCGGACGACTTCAACATCCATGTGCAGCCACGCCGCGGTATGCACCTTCCAAAGGATAAGAATCCCAATTCAAGAGGTATTCAGGCGGAAGATCCCGCCACTCAGGAGGTAAGCAACACTTGGCAGACCTTGAATGAACCCGACCGAGCTCATGTTTGAACACAGATTCTAGTCCACACTGACTGGAATGCTATGCAAATCTGTGACGCGAAGACTCTCGAACCAAAGCGGTTGCTTACCCATGCGACCATTGATCCCGAGCTCGCTGGAGCTGGTTGCTGCGCCCACCCTGTTCATGACCGCAGGCGAGGTCAAACCTACAACTACCTGATCGACGCAGCTGGCATTATGTATGTTTTCGCGCTCGACGTTGCATCGAACCCGGCACATCTCTTGTGGAAATCCGCTCTCCCATGCAAACCATGCTACACGCATGCTCTCGCCATGACCGACAAGTACGTCGTGTTTGTCAGAAACGTAAGTGTTGTTTCGCAAAATCTAGGATAATGGGGTTCTCTTGCTAACATGCAAACAGCCCGTCACCATGGATACCAGCGATCCTACAAAGACCATCATCGAAGCGATGAAGTGCGAGCACGACTCTCCCGTTTACTTCTACGTGTTAAACAAGACAGATGGCAAGCTGTAAGTACCTCAATCTCAACTTAACGACTTCGAACCCCCCAACTAAACCCCACCAGCGTCGCGTCCTATGAAGTCCCCAATTTCTACTTCTTCCACACAGCAAACGCATACGACTACGTCGACCCCAAGACCGGCCACACCAACGTCCACGTCGACATAGCTAGCTACAAAGCCGACCACTACCCCTACAACGAATACGCCATCTCCAACGTCATCAACCCGCTAAAACCATACCAAGTCGGCCGCCTCGTCCGCTACGAACTCGCTGCCGTAGACACCAAAGACCCCGCCGTCATCGCCCGCGGCACAGTCAAAGCCGCCATCCCAGACATGATGGCTGAGCTACCCCGTATCTCGAAACCCGCGTCGATGAACCCCAACTACCGCTATGTCTACGGTGTATCCGGCAACGGCGTGTCCGCACCAGGCACCCAAGTCCCCATTGGCCGTCTCGGAAACGGCGTATCCAACGGAGGAGGAGGAGGAATGACCCACGCCTCTTTCTACGGACACCTGTTCAAGTCGGATTGGCAGACGGGCACGTTCAAGTCTTGGATTCCGCAACATGGCGAGAGTTGTCCTACAGAGCCTATTTTCATTCAGCGGCCGGGTGCGACGGACGAGGATGATGGGATTGTGATTACGATTACGATTAATAAGGAAGGGACGCATAGTATTCTTGTGGGACTTGATGGGAGGACTTTTGAGGAGGTGGCTAGGGCGGACATGCCCCAGGTGTACTCGCTTGGTCCTCATGGATCGTTTGTTGAAGGCGACTTTGGGCTTGTTAGTACCATGGGATGATAGTGAGTTTGAGCTTGGGTGGGGCACGAGTGCGTAGTCTTGGTAAGTAGTTGTTCCTGTCTAGTACATGATTCAAAGTATGTCAATGACAGATTGGTAGTCATGAGTCATTGCATGAAGTACCGTCGTTTTTGGACAACAGCCAGAGCAAGAGAAGCGACATGAAAGCGCATAGCGAAATCTTTGGGGAAAGTGGCGGATATCGACTTAGCATGTGAGGGCGATTCCATACTTTGGTTGTCATCCACTTTTGGGGGACGGAAGGCAACCAAAGTTTGGCATCGCACATCCATGTGTTGTGACGCTACCAGATTTTCTCCCTACAAGCATATAAATCTAGCTGCCTTTCTCTTTCTCTTTTCTTTATCTCTCTCTCTCTCTCTCTCTCTCTCTCTCTCACACACACACATACACACACACACACACACACACACACACACACACTGGACTTTCAAAAACTCCTTCTGTCACTGATGTCTTCAAGTTCAAAACTCCCATCCCCGCTCACCATGGGTCTCCCGAATGATATCCTCGAAGGTTGGGTACTCAACAACATCAAGAAGTTCGATCGCAATCTTGTCGGAGATCCAAAGAACGGCACACGAAGAATTTCCGGACAACTCTTCTCCCCTCCTGACACTGTCATGGCCTCGAGCACTACTTCCTCTTCTGCGACTGAACTACCATCCGTCCACCCTGATCTGGAAGTTCCGCTAAACCTTTACTCTGTTCAGGCCTTTGAGTTCATAGGCTTTACAAAAGAAACATCGGAGAAGCTTCTGAAGAGGTGGACCTCTGAAGATGAGCTTAGCTTCCAAGAAGTTCTCGAAGCGCACATCGACTACTTCTGCCACGACATCACTGAAGACCCACGCACCACTATGCAAGAGTTGGGAATTTCAGAGGTGATACAGAAGAGAATCATGGATCCCCACTTCAACGATGTCAGAGATACCGCAACTCTGCACTACTGGACCCTGGAGCTTGTCCTCGAGAACCTCTGGACACTCGAGAACTTGAGTGAACGACTCAATCGCAATCTTCTCGTACTTCAAAACACCTCTTTAGGGCAGAGTACCTCTTCCTACTACAACAAAGCGCATTATATCGATATAGATATAGATAGGAAGCCTAGAAGACTACAATGCTATTTACCTTTATAAGTTTTCTCATCAGAAGATAATGTAGACTGTAAGATGTACATTGTGATTTCTGTATCTATCTAATTCTTTTTCTTGTATAAGGTACATGATTCAAAGTATGTCGACGACAGATGGGTAGCCATGTGTTGTGATGTGGTGCTGGAAGTGACATCACTGACTGAGCTGGTAAGCCAAAAGTGGTTTAGCGTAAGGGTCTGTCATCACGTAGAATGCAGGGTCACCGTGTTCACGCGTCTTACCTTTTTCCAGACGCGACGATTGATTCGCATATGAAGCGGGACGATATTAGAGAACCTCTTGGGCTCTCGTATTCCAGCATGTCATTTATGCGACGCGGCGCTGTGCGGCCAATCATCAGGCGAGCGCAAGCTGAACCCCTCATCACCGCCGTGTGCCTTTTGCACAATAAATGCTGCTTGACTGGGCCTGAACAATACCTTGTAATTATGCTGCTTGATCTGTATCACTTCATACATTCCCTTAGCAGTTCACTGGTCTATAATCAGAAAGAGTACAAGCGCCATCATCGAGCTTGCGCGTCAGCGTTTTCAAGTGCCCACCTGTCCCATATTCCCTACGCGTTCTAGTAGACAATGCCGACCATAACACCCTTCGTCCGAGTATACGACCCATCAACCGATTACCAGAATGGTCTTCACGTGGTATGTGTTATGCTGTTATCTCCTAGACGACCGTCATCCTGACTGAAACTATAGTTCCTGACAACCATCGACCCTGGCCTCGACTGGGAACCAGCGCGAACTGTAGGCTCACACCTCTGGTACAAAGTCTACGCCGATGTGACCCCAGAAACATGTCACGTACTAGACGACGGTGATGGACGCGTGGTGGGTTACTGTATCGGCGCAGTGGATACAACGGCTTTCGCGCAGCGCTGGCGCGACGTGTTCACTCAGACTATAGACCCAAAACTCGTACCACATCCGAACGTTCAGACCGGCGATCCACAGATGGAGAGACAGGATATCAAGCATTTCCGAAGGGCCGTGTATGAGGCGGACTGCAGCATGCTGCAACCATGGCCACAGATGTTGGAACGATACCCAGCGCATTTACATATTGATATTTTGCCAGAGTATCAGAGAAAAGGATGGGGATCAGCTCTCATGACCAGCTTTTTGGGCACTGCGAAGAGCTCAGGTGCTGTGGGAGTACATCTTGACATGGTGCAGTCGAATACGAGTGCAAGAGCTTTCTACGAGAAAGTTGGTTTTCAGATATGTCCACAAGTTCTGGATGACGGTACGAGTGGTCAGCCTGGTGTCAACGGCATCGTGGTCACACTTGTGATGAGTCTCTGACTCATCCAAGTTTTATCCGAGATACTGCCTTCATCTTATGCTTGACAACTGGTTTGGGTCATCCTCATGACATCGCGATATCTGAGTCGGCTTACAGCTGCTTGGGACGTGGCGGTAGGGTTGCTATTGTTATGAATGACTCAGTGTTCACGTGGCCAATTTTGCGCTTCTCGCTTGGTGCTGACCGCCAGAGCACCTCGAAATACACGCGATGAATCTGTATCGCATGAAATATCGTTTCTTCACTCTTACATAGTACGATAATCGTTTCTGACCAAGACATCCGACACGTTGGAAGCTACGTCAACATCCGTCATGGCTCATATTGAGACAGTCAAGCATCGTTGTTAGTATGGTACATGTACAAATGCCAACGATGACTATCGTCAGTCATTCCGATGAAACTTAATTATCTGGGTACATAAAGCTCCCCTCTGCCCTTTACTACGTTAGCCAGATACTGACAGTCACAGAGTCGTAAAACTACGTCGTCGTCTATGCCATGCCAGACTCAATTCATCACGAGTTCTACGAACCCAGCGTCCCCGAAAACGCTCTAACTATACAGGGGAGCTCGTCCGGATCCAAGTGGATGAATAACATTCATAAAGGTAAAGGCCGTCGATCATCGCATACCTTCATTGCCTTGAATCCGCAGGACCCATATGAGCTTGGCGGTACACCCGTTGAGCAGCATCAAAATGCCAAGTCAGCTCAACAGGAAATTTCGGAGCCTTATCAAATGATCTCGGAGGCCACGGTGGGTCTAATAGCTGCTCTCCAGAAGTTCAACTACGCCAACTTGACCTGCCGCCAGACCGATATCTGGCTGGGAGAGCAGGGCGTTCAATTGGTAACAGCAGCTCAGCAGGCTCTCGGAAAGTTTCCACCTACCACAAAACCAGACCCTCTCTCTTACGACGGGTTCCTTCAGCTACTCAACGATGAAGGACTAATGTGGCTTTTGGGGTATGTAGACCAACTAGACAGTATGGCTGATTTTTCCGTGGCACCCACCGCCGACCCCAACAAGAAACGATGCAAAGTCGGGCAACCAATTGGTAAGATCTTGAAACAAGCTCAAAATGATGATTTGGTGAAGAGGCTGTGCTGTTTGCACAAGGATGAAGAAGGCTTTCACATACAGGTCGAGCTCCATCATCGAGACCCTTGGACGTGCTGGCCGCCCAATGTGGACCAGGATGTGGAAGTGAATGTAGTGTGAGATACGGTATGCGCGTCATTTCTTGTTCCATGGAAGTATGTAGTGTGGGCATCTACTGAGTAATTAATATGCCCCAGTTGCTGAGATCATTGCTGTATGATCATCTCGTCGTGATATCGCTACTATATGCGTGAAAATTTATGGAAATGACAAAGAGATGTCTTCTTCGGCTTTTATGCTACGAAAATAGCTGAGTCTTGGATATAGCTGGAAGAACAAAAGCGCTAAATGTGTCATCTCAAGACGAAGTGTCTCAATCCCAAAGGTCGGGATAGCTCAACAACATCCGCGACGCCTGAACAAAACACAAGCACGGATCTCCGATCATCCTCCCCACCAAGCAATCTCTCACCTAGCCAGTCCCTTTGGTCCTGCCCACTCACCTTTGACGTGATACTTTCCATACACCCACGGGAAAAAGTCCTTCTTTAACCAATAGAAAGCCTTCCTGGGAACGCCCTGGTCAATACCTAGTAAACTGTTGAAGGTCTCCTTGGGCACACCACCATACTTGAACTCAGCAAGCATGACTTCTCTCTGCCCAGTAAGCAACGGGCAAGATGTGTAACCATCGTAGTTGGCTTCCAGCGGCTTGTCGGCCATCGCAGAAAGCAAGTTAGACACCAAGACCGGCGCTTCGGCGGTGATGGCAGCGACGGTCTTGGAGGTAGGCAAAGAGGATGCGTCGCCGATGGACCAGACGTTGGGGTACTTGGTATGTTGAGTGGTAGAATCAGAAACGGAGACGTAGCCTGCCTCGTTGGCCAAGGGGCTGGATTTGACAAAAGACCAAGGCACATTCTTGGGTGCGACGTGGAGGAAGTCGAAGTGTTTCTTGATGGGTTCAGAGTTTGCAACGTTGAATGTTGCTGTGTTTCCGGAGATGGAGGCTAGGTCATGTTGGAAGAGGCCCTCCACGCCGCGTTCTACGCGGAGCTTTTCCAAGGCTGCTGCGCTGGAGGGTATTAGTATGTATCTTCCACATTACATGGGGGTAGGGAACCTACTATTTCGGCACACCGAACATGGAAGGTAGACCGGTAGCAAAGCTAATGTTGATATCCGACGGGTAGAGTCCAGCATTCTTCCAGTAGTCCAACGCAAGCCACATGATCTTCTGCGGTGCTCCAGCACACTTTACCACACCAGCTGGTTGAGTAAAGACTGCATCACCCTTCTTGAATTTCTTCACATTCTCATACGCCTTATCGCAATACTCGTAGTCGTAGATAGTGCTCACCATGGCATCCTTCTCGTTCAACGCCTCTTTCAAGCCCTTCACACTACTATAGTCGAGCGTAATACCAGGCACAACGACCAACTGTTCATATGCAATCTTCTCTCCGGTACCGGTGGTAATGTAGTTTTCCTCGGGTGCGAAGCTTCCCACCGAGGTATTGTAGAATTTGAATTTAGGGTCCATGAGATCCTTCAAAGGACGGCGTAGGTCTTCCTTCTTCTTCAAACCACCTCCGACGAGTGTCCATCCAGGCTGATAATGGTGCCATTGTGCAGGATCGACAATAGCAATGTCGTCCTGTGAGAAGTTTCCTTTGCGTAGCAGTTGATGTGAGAGAGATATGCCTGCCGAGCCGCCACCAATAACGACGATTTTGTGGTTGCGTGTTGCAGTTTGCACTGGTGCTACTGTAGCAAGACTGCGAACAGAATGTTGGAATGCTGGTCGCGTGATCTTGGAATATGTGGCTGCCATCTGTGGTCCGCGGTTTCGAGCTAGTGCGGACATGGTATCAACTTTCGGCGACAGTCCGCGATGGCTAAGAAAGTAAAGGAAAAGTGGATGTAGAGACAGACAGAGGACCGACACGATGAAGCGTGTGGTGTCTCCGATACCCCCGACTAAACATTTTATGCCATGTGGGTCGCAGACTAGTGACTGATGAACGGCCAATGAGCGAGGTGAAGATGTTACTAGCGCGATCACGACATCGTCCAAAGAGTAAGTCAGCAGCCACAGCACAACATCTCGGATGGAACGGGTAGCAACATCTTATGTACACAACTTTGCATTAAATCATTTGAATCATGAAACTATATAACAGACATCCTAGCCCATTAGAATTTTACAAGCGCGACAAACCAGCAATCTCCCTTGGAGCGTGGTAGTTGGGGACCTTCATGTCCAATGCGCTGCCGCTGTAGCCCAAGTCCTCACCCGTAAGCACTGCACACTTCTCTCCAATGAGGAGTGCAGTCGAGTATGTGTTGCAACCGACGTTGTCGGGGCAGATGGACAGATCGGCGACCTTGAGACCCTTGACGCCATGGACGTTAAGGCGCTCATCAAGGACACCATGCTTGACGATGGAGTTGCCGTTCTTGGGAGCCATAGAACAGGTACCGAGAGAGTGCCAGGTGGTCTCAACGTGTCCTATGGTATGTTAGTAAGTGAATGAAAAACCATCGAAAGGTAAAACATACGCTTGGTCCAGTCCTCGATGTGCTTGATATCCTCGTTCGAGTAGGGGAGATCATCCATAACCTCCTGGCAGTTCGAGCTCAAGAAGTTGGGCTCGGGAGCGCGGCCTTTCTTGACTGGAGAAGTCCAAGATCCGTGCTGAATTCCAGCTGTGAGGTTACCGGGAAGGGCGTACTGGTTAGTGGTGGTAAGATCGAGGTCGTTGGCACGGGCGGGACTGTCGTAGGCGTAGAAGGGGTGCATAGCCTGCACCTCACCGGCGTAAGCGTCCATGCGGCGGGCAGTCTCACGAGACTTGATGTAACCCCAGACCATAGGAGCCATGTCGCGCTTGTCGTTCATGAAACCGGCGTCAAAGTCGGGCGCCTCGTATGGGTTGGGCGAGACAATGTGCGTAGAACCACGCGAGAATGGGTACTCGAGGAAGTGGAACATGGTAAAGAACTTGCCTGGTGGCATAACCATGTGGTCACCAAACCAACCAGCAATGACCGAGTAGTGCATAACTGGCTTATCGGGCTTGTTCTTGAAGTAGGAGTCCCAGCCGGAGCGGAATTCCTTGCAAGGCCAGCTGTCCATCATGTTGAGTTCTTCCTCAGTGGGTCGAATCTTGACACCGGCCTCGATACCGTTGGTGGCGAGTGGACCAGTGCCGTTGATGTTCCATTGGTTGAAGACCTGCTCCTGAACCTTGGGGTCACCACGAACGAAGTCGTCGAACGACTCAACGTGAGGCTTCGCGCGGTAGGTGGCAAACGTCAAGTAATGATCCTGGAAGTTGAGACCAACACCAGGAAGATCGACAAGAGGCTTGACGCCGGCCTTGCGGAGCTTCTCTGGGTCACCGATACCAGAGCGCTGAAGGATGAGAGGAGAGCTGAGAGTACCACCAGAAACGATGATCTGCTTGCGGGCCTTGATAGTCCTGGACATTTGTTGCTCAGGGTGGAGAGGCTTGGTGGGGACAACCTTGACACCAACAGCGCGGTCACCCTCCAGAATGACCTTCTCAACCTTGTTGCTGGTGAGCAGGTGCAAGTTCTGGTGAACGGCGCGGGTGCTGTGAATGTAGCCGTGAGCCGAGTCGGATCGACGTCCAGTATCGCGGTTGATCCACTTGAGCCAGTGCTCGGCACCGTGACCAGTGGTCAAGTCCTGGAGATCGTCGGTGGTCGGGATGCCCTGAGATTCGGTGGCACGGAGGAAGTCCTCCTTGATCGGGTAGGTGTAGTTACCGAAGGAAACCTTGATGGGTCCCTCAAATCCGTGAATGTCGCGGTTGTTGCAGGCGCGCTGGTAAGTCTCGTGCTTCTTCATCAAGGGAATGAGCTCCTTAGTGGTCCATCCCTTGGCTTGGAAGTCGTCGTAGTCGGAAGCTGACGCACGGGTGTACATCTAAAACACAGTCAGTATCATTCATCTGTAATTATAGCTAGAGCAAATTACCATGAAGTTGATGGAAGATCCACCTCCGAGGATGTGCGCAACAGGCACAACAGCTCGGCGGCCATCGAGCCACTCCGAGGGACGAGAGTAGTAGAAGGTGGCAGTCTTGCTGTCCAACTTCATGTTCCTCGGGTAGATACCGGGACGGAAAACCCATGGGTTGTTGAGGTTGTTCTCTCCAGCCTCAATCAAGAGGACCTGGAGGTTGTGGTCGAGGTTGGCGAGACGTCCAGCCACAACACAACCACACGAACCACCTCCACACACGATGATGTCGACCTCATCTGGGATCGTCATCTTGAATTGTTGTTGTGAGATAAAGATATGATTGGAACGGTGCTGTGTTGTTGTTGATTTGTTGACCGCAGGAGAGCAAGTCAACTGGGCATGATGCTCTTCTCAGTTGGAGACACGACATCTATTTAAACTGTTCAGACCCCGCATCTCCAGGATCTTCGGCTTCAAGGAGGGACCGCCATCCAGGCTGTGGCACTATGCGCTTTCCATCAGCCGTCAATTCCGATAGCAGCACAATGCATGCATAGAGGAGGGGACATGTACCACTTGGCCAGCCTTTCGAGCTAAAAAGACTTAGCTGCTGGCTAAGACCCTACATCATAAGACCGCAAGGGTCGCCGTCAGAGCCATTCGACGCAGAGCATCATGTTAGACTTGCGGATCCGCAAGGTAGGTTGCGTCTCTGCCGGACTTCCACAGGGTAGGTTTGCACGTGGTGATTGGTCTACGTACTCGCGCAAGGGTACCTACCGTCCCGACGGGACTGGATAAAGGCCGGACTGGGGTCGACGCTGCGGTTGTCGCATGTTTGCTAGTTGGGTGCGGAGAAACCTCACGTCCATTAAGGGATCATGCTCGGTTGCGTATGCAGGCCCACTCACGGGGGTGAGCATTGCGGACCCGAAGCTCAGAGACCGGTATAGCGTCCTCAGGCGTTGAGCTCCAGCGTATCACGCATTGACAGAAATGAACGAGGCGTTTGACGTGAGTTGTCAGCGAATGAAAAGCAATCGGAATGGAAGCCAGTGTCGAAGAGATGTATAGAGAAATCATTGAACGCTATGCCTTGACGCATACTGCTCAGTTGCGAGACAGATCCAAGCACTCTATGCCGTGCTTGCCAGAGCTCAAAGTACCTTCAAGGATGATAGCTGTGGCAGCCCATGTAGCTGCGGCAAGTTGTACTAGTTGCGTTTCTCTGCGGGGGTTGTGCGGCGCTGACGTCCTGCCTATAGCACGTCTCTCGTGGAAGAATGCGGATGTGGGGTGCAGTAGTCGCTGTGCCTCACATTGAGAGGAGGTCAGAACTTGGCATTGAGGCTAGTGGCAGCAAGTGCGGGGTTAGCTCCGCCTCGAACCACGGAAGAACGGTAGACCAGTCGTTACAACGGTCAAGCGCGGGATTGGAATGGCTCCCTGCTAAACACTTCCTGTTAGTTGAAATAGACTATATCGACAGTGTGGTGGCTGTGAGCCGCAAACTAAAAGGGACCCTCAATACCACCACGATGTTACCTTATTCCCGAGGATCACTAAATTCAGTAAACTGTAAAGCTCAGCGATCGCACTCCAGATCGGAAAATGAACAGCGAGATGAACGTGTACTACTGAATCATACTCAGCAGTAGCTTCATTAGGAAAGCTCAGACATTTGGCGGTCTTAGGACTCGTCCAGATCAGCAGACTACTGCGCAGGTTCCTTTTGAGGCTGTACGAGGCTGCGCGCGACGCGCCACCGTGTGACTGACCCGTCATGAATGCATGAGCTGGAGCTTGTGTGGAGGTTCCCATGGAAGACATTGACTGGGTGGTTTCCGCTTTCCTAAAGCGACGTTTTGCATGCCAAAGGAGAGGCTCATGTCCACGTTGCAGTCTTGTCGTGCTTGGCTTCGGGGGAAAAGCCCGCCAGTCAGCGTCAGCTTCGCCCTGGCGGATCCGCGCGGTCCTTCTTCGAAGTTACCCAATCTCCGGCTCTCTCTCGATCCGTCAGTTGACTTTGCATCGGATATCGTCGACTGGGGTTCTCAGAAATATCAAGTTACTGCTGTACCTGGCAACACCACCGGTTATTGTCCTGGACTATTGTATATCGAAATGCGGATCCGATGAACTCTACACCGCTTGAAGTTGAAATTGAAACTGATCTGTAGAAGGTCCGAAAGTCTAGGGATACATGATGCGTCCACTCCTCATGATACCCATCGTGGTCTGGGTATCGTTTTTCCAAAGTCCAATATGTCCCGTAACGCCGAAGATACAATTTTAGAAGAGGGGAGAATGGAGACCGAAGACACCGTGCATGCCGAACATGTCGCTGACAAGCGGATCAAAGCGGAAACACTCAGATGATCTCGTGCCTCTCCCAGCCAGTAGGCTTCATATGCGCAAGGTCCTTTGTCGGATGAGGCTCCTCTGGGTTTCGGTACTCGCTCACGTATGGGTTAGGGTCTTCCTTTTGATCGAGGTTACCGAATGTGTGATTAACTTCTCGATGCTTGGACTCGTCTGCGCGAACTAGGATTGTGTTAGTGGGAGGTGCTGCATGAAGGGATCAGGGATATACGCACTATAGAGGAGCAGATCTCGCATTGTGCGGTGGCCTTCAGGCATCTGCCAGTAGTCTACCGCGATCTCGGGTGCCTCCATCTTCTCCCACTTTGGCAGGCGGCCTGCGTCGAGATCCTCGATCTGGCGGGTGTATGTAATGACGGCTTCCTCTTCGAGATATCCTACAAATCGGTGGACGGTACGAGGGCTCAAGAGGTAGGCGAAGAATAAGGCATTGCACCAAACTCCCTGGGCACCCAATACCATCAGGCGCATGAAGCGTCCTGGCCGTTGCA